GACACACAGCAAGACCTGGAAGGTGCTCACAGGGACCACAGAGGAGGTGGTAGTGTAGCCATCAAGGGGCCAGCATGGGGCAGGCACCCAGGTCTGCAGGGCCCAGCTCCCCAGCGTCTTGGGCTCCAAGGAGCCCTGGCCTAGCAGAATCCACCTGAGCAGTGACGTGTGAGATCCCGACCTCACCCCCACCCTAGGTCTGGCCAGTTCAGCAGACCTCACCCCAGAACCTGTTCCCCCGCCCCAGGCCTGGAGCCTGGTGAGCTCTTAAGCCTCATCGCCCTGGAGGTCCCCTTCCCACAACTGGCCCTGGGGACCTCACAAGGTGAGGGGCTGGGCCAGCAGGGGCAGGGGTGGGGAGGGGGGTTACTTCCTGTGTCCATTCTTGCCAGCTCAGGAAGATTGGGGAAAGACAGGGAGGGTGGCTGGGTGGGAGGGTGCTTGCTGGGGAAGACTGACAGGTGCTGGGGGTGGGAGAAGACAGCAGTAGAGCTGAGCATGGTACTCAGGAGCCCGCTACCCACATGTGTGCATGCATGTGCACACACCCCAGCTCTGGAGGTGCCTGTAGGAGAGCTGGGACAGCTACAACCAAAGAAGTCGGTTCCCAGTGACCCAAGGCCTCAACTGGGCCAGGACCAGGCAGAGGGATCCCCAAGGCTAGCACCTCCAGATTCCAGCCTTAGCCCAAGGGACTGCATGGAGTCAGGAGTGGACTTGGGTCTGAACCCCCTCCCCGCCCGCCCCGGGCACAGCCAGTAAGCACAGCCCATCCTGCTCCCTCCTTCCTCTCATTGGAAGGACTCATGTTTGCAGGCTGTTATGTATGGGGGGGTGGGGGCGCTCAGCTAGGGGACCCCCGAGGCTGCATCTTAATGAGCGCACAGACTGAGCCGCAGGGACAAAGGAGCCATTAGTTAGACTGTGCACGGCTCCCCTGCTCCCCATGCAATCTCCATGTTGAAAATCACCTTCACCAAGCCTGCTCCTAACCGAGCAGCCACCCTGTGGCCCACAGGCCAGTGGTTGGTGGGCTGTGTACAAAGGCTCACCTCTGCCGGCCCGGGTCCTGATAAAGGTAATAAGGCCACGGGACCCCCTTGGCAGCAGGCGGGGAGAGGGGGCTCAAGAGTGGCCCTGACTCACCAAGTGCAGGAATGACCTCCTGTGCTGGGCTGACACTCACACCTCAGTTTGCTAGCTTGTAAATGGCGGGTAGAACAGGGAACTCCCCACCCCAGCCCAACACACACACACACACTCACGCGCGGGTCACTCTATCCCCCAGCAGACACCTCTGTCCCCAGCTGCAGGCATGGCGATCCAGACCCCTGGAAACCCCGTCTGCCCATCCACAGGGTTGCCAGCGGCTACTTCACAGAAATAAATAGCCAGGCCTTTCTTCTGAGGCACCTGATGGGCTCACACCTCTAAGCTTCAGGTTAAGTAGCATGCTCACCAAATGCACCAGCAGGCCTCCCAGCTCTGCCAGGATCCCACTTCACAGGTGTGGACACCGAGGCACAGGGAGGCTGTGCACCTCACAGCAGCAGGTGGGCTGCCCGCCCTTCCCAGCCACACTGCCACATGGCCCATGGCCACTGCGACAGGACCAAGAAGGGCAGGATCCTCACCAGGAGTCAGCTCTGAGACTCTGCCAACTTAGCTGCCAGAGACGGGGTGGAGGGGCAGCCCCAGGTGCCACATGGCCCAGCCGGACTGCACAGATGGTCACTGGGATAGGCCAGTGGTGGCCCTATGGCGAGCCTGCAGCAGGGAACAGGCGGGACGAGGCTCCCACCTCAGGCAGACAGGACACGTGGTCATGGGACCTTGCCACCTGGCTGAGATGGGTGACTGCTCCCTCCCCTCCTCCCCTGGCCAAAGGGGCTCAGAGCTCAGGCAAGGACAAACTGCAGGGGTCATGCAGAGACGGGCCAGCAGGGGCCACCAGCCCAGGGGTATGGTCAGCTGGCCTTGCAAACACCCTAGCAGAGAGTGGGCAGGAAGGGCAGGCCCCGCCAGGGGCACTTCCAGGTGCTGCCTCGTGGGCATCTCACCAGTACCTGCCTTACAGGTGAAGCAGCAGAGAGTCTGCCTGAAGCTCCCAGGTACCCAAAGCCACACTCACCCCTGCCCGGTTCCTGTCACTGTTCTCATCTGTGCCTGAGGCTACTCGAGGGTCACCTGGAGGTCCCAGGGTGGTGTGGTGGGTGGTGTGGTAGGTGGTGGGACAGGGGTGGGAAGTAAGGATGAGGGAGGGGGACAGGGAGCACAGGACAAGAAGCCAGCGGTGGACTTCGGGGTCAGGGTGGAGGCCAGTGGCGAGGTAAGGTAGTAAGGTAAGGTGACCAGACGACCCACTTTTGGCGGGACAGTCCCAATTTTTAACAAGTTTTCACATGTCCCGCGGCATTTTTTAAAAGTCCCGATTTTTGGAAAGAATGCACGACAAGCTAGGGTATACGGTTTTCGGCTGCCATGTGGCTATTTCACCAGGATATGAGTTTTATCAGTGGTTTCCCGCTTTACCAATGTTAAAATCTGGTCACCTTATAGTAAGGGGTAAGGTGGGAAGCTAGACAGGGGTAGGGGGTCTGCCAGCCACAAGTACACACAGAGTGAGGAGAGGACCAGCCCAGCTCATGGGCGAGGGGGTGCTCCAGCCTGGCCCCCACAGGCTCAGCCCATTCCCCAGCCTCCGCCAGGAGATGCGGGCTTAGCTTCTCTGTGGCGCTGGCTGCTTCCTTGGTAGGGGGGAGGGAGAGGGACCCCTGGGCCAGGGTCAATTACTGCCCCCGCCCCCCACCACCAGTCGGGACAGGGGCGGGGTGGGGCTGAATCATCACGGAAGCAGCTGTGTTGTGGAACTGCAGGGGCGCTGGGAAGAGGGAACTGCCGCATGCAGCTGCCACGCTTCCAAGGAGAGCTAGGGGTGGGGTCAAGAGGGGACCTGTCCCCCATCCACATCCATTAACGCCCCTTTAGGGTGGTCTGAGACAGAGTATTCCCCCTTCCCTCATAGACACACACGCTCACACACACACCCCGTGGAAACACCCACTGGGGGCAGCAGTGGGCACCAGCCTTGCCTTGATTACCCCTACATAGGAAACGGGGTGGGGTGGGGTGGTGGCAAGGCAGCCACGCCTCTGCATGACCGCCACCCAGTTCACCTGCACTGAACCCACAGTGACACCCACCCCCAGAGGTGGCCCCTGGTGATTGTGTAGGTCGCCAGGAGATGGCAGGCTGGGCTGCCCCAGCTTCCTCATAACCATTGCAGAATCCGTTTAGACCTCAACCAGGCCTGCCCTACCCCCACCTACCTCCCCTCCACTCTGTAATGGGCAGGGAGGGGCTGGTCACCCCGCCTCCCCCAGGGGCCATCACAGGGCAGAAACCAATGGGCCGTGAGGAAGTGGGGGTGTGCGTGCCAGTTTTACAGCAAAAGGACGCCAGGGACCGGGGTGGCTTGAGAATCCCCAAAGCCGGGTGCTATCCCAGGGGCTCCCAGGTGGCATGATGTCAACAGACCCCTGGGCCCCCTGTGAGGGCCAGGTCCTCCTCTCCCCCTCCCCCTCCTTGTCCCCAGCTCAGCTCAGACCCCAGGCCCTCCCACCTGGCCCACGTGTAGGCTCCTGGGATCTCTGCCAGGAGGCTCCTGGCTGGCATCCCCTGCAGCCAGTGACCACAGGCAGGTGGGCAGCCAGTGTCCCAGCTCCCAGGCTGCCCCAGTTCCTCTCCCCCTCCTCAGGGAACTGGGTCCAGCCCTCTGCTAGCTCAGTAGGGGGGGGCACGTGTGAGCCCCTGCCTAGAAGAAACCTGGAGGGAGACCAGTGCCTCCGCCGCCCGCCTGCCCTCGAGGCTCTGCCAGGTTGGCCCCCTCAGGGTGCAAGCAGTCCCTCAGCTGGACAAGGAGGCTGGACTCATCTGCCCAGGTGGCGCTGGGGGTCCCAGGACCTCCAAGTTGTCGCTGTCATTGCCTTTAGATGCCACCGAGTCGGATCAGTTCTGGACACACGGCACATAACGGAGACTGCCGGTCCCGCCGTGCTCACAATCATCCTGATGGTGGCGCCCACCGTTGCAGCCACTGGGTCAGTCAGCTGGTCGAGGGTCTTTCTTTTCCGCTGCCCCTCTGCTTCCCCACGCACCGTGTCCTTCTCCAAGGATGGGTCCCTCCTGATAACTCGTCCAAAGTACAAGAGGCGAAGACCTTGCTTCTATGACGCACCCTGCCTGTGACAGGTTTCCTCCTGTGGTGTCTGTGTTCTTCCCCAACGTCGCTCCTCGGCAGAGAGAGATTCTTCACCATCAGCCCATCGTCCAGCTTGCCCTATGGGCCCAGCCCGAGGCTCCCTGACGGGACTTGGTGCCCACACGCCTGGCCAGCCTGGACACCGCCCAGGTGGGCAAGGTGAGGGCGGCTGCACCCACCCCAGGGCCTGGGTCCTGCCCCATCAAGGGACTCAGAGACCAGCCACAGCTGCTCCAGGAGGGAGCAGGGCCCCAACCCTGGAAAGAGGGTGCCTTGTGAGACCAGGGTACCCACAGGATCGTGGATGTAGGGCAAATGACCCTGCAACGTAAGCCTGGCTTATGTGTGCCCCACATGAGTTAAGTAAGCACAGTCGGCCCTTGCTTACCTTGCTGACTGGGTGCTCTGTCCTGGCCAGGGGGTGTTGATGTGAAGGGCGGCTTTGACTCTGTAGGGAGGGGCTGTGGGGTTGTGAGAGAGGGGCTGCCAGCCCCACCTGCAACAGACACTCTGGGGCAGTGAGACCCCCTGATCGGTGGGGAAGCACAGGCCAGGCTGTGCTTGCCACCTAAGAACCAGCACTGGGTGGTGGCCACACCCCACTTGAGTGTGGGACTCACTGAATTACAAACACTCCCGACTCCACACTCCGCCATGTGGGGCGTGAGGAGGGGGCTGAGCCACAGCCCCAAGGTGAGGTGTGCACGGAAGGCTGCACAGAAGGAGATGGGAGATGTGGATACTCAGGCCCCACGGGGGAGCAGGGAGAGGCCAATGGGAGGTGGGCACATGGCAGAGGGTTCCCTTCATGCCAGGTGGGAAGGAGGGAGCCTCCCAGAAGGCAGCAGGCAGCAGAAGCAGGAAGGATGGCCGGCCAGCCACAGTGGGAGGCGGCTCAGAATAAGCCAGGACCTACCCCGTATCAGGCTCCTTCATGGCCCCTGGCCTCACAGCCAGCCCTCCTCATCATGGCCCCACCCGCATCACAGCCACACCCACAAGACACAAGCACTGTCCACTTTGCCTAGCCCCACCCCCACAATGCCCCAAGCCCCACTCCTAGCCATCTCTTCTCTAACTTGCCTGGAGGATGGTCAGAGGGCGCTGGACCAGGTCCCGAAAAACCCCTGGCACCCAGAAGCAGGGGTGTTTCCATAGGCCCTTCTCCCCACTTGCCTGTCAAGCACCTACTCAAACACAGGCCTAACCTGACCCCTCCTCAGCTGGGGCAGTTGGCATGAACAGACAGTGACATTTGGCAGCTCAGAGGCCATGCAATAACAGCCCAGCCTGTGGCCCGGCAGGTCCCAGGGGGACAGGTGGAGATGCATGGGGCGTGCGGAGCAGTGGCTGTGCCTACCTGTGCCACGAGTTTGGGGTCACCCTCCAGCAGCTTCGCCTTGCCCTCCAGCTGTCCGGTGTAGGTGGCCGAGGGATCTGAAACGAGGGGTGGGGGGACAAATTAACCACCAGTAGAACCCATCCTCCAAACCGACTGGCTGCCACAGCCCCTCCCCTCGTTAAAAGAGGGCCCCTCCTGTCTGTCTCAGGGCCCCTTCTTCAGGTGTCCTGCCACCCCCAGCGGGGAAACTGAGGCTCCCTGTGCTGCTCCATCCTCAGGGCTGCAGGCCCTTCTACCCAACCTCGGGCTGGTGGTGACTCAAGAGCCCTTACAAACAATTAGCCTGGTGGTCAACAGCACGTGTCCTGCATGCTTACCAGTCACAGGGGGAGCCTACAGAGCAGACAAGCCCACGGAATGCCCTTCCCCAAGCTCATGGAGGGTGGAGGGAGCCTGCTTCAAGGCATGGGGCAGAGGTCCCCAGCCCTCCAGTTCCCCAACCCCAACACACCAGCCAGGGCAGAAGTGCAGCCAGCAGAGGAGATTGCAGGGCCCCTTTGCAGCCCCCACCCACCAGGGATCCCTGGTCTCAGTCCCCCTGGTCTCAGTCCCCCTGGTCTCAGTCCCCACCCTGGGTAGGGGCTGGGGTGGACCATCCACAGAGGACTGCCTTACTCTCTAGCACCCATCCCCCATCACAGGGGACTCGGGGGAGCCAGACTGCTTGGCTCTTTACACCATCTGGGTGAGGACAGTGGGCCAGGGCAACAAACCCCACCCTGCTCACCCCTGGGTCTGGAGACCGGGTGATTACAGTGGGCACTGCTCCACCCCCCCACCCCCCACACACACACACGGGGACACCAATGCCTTCTCACTCTTCTGTAGTCCCACCTGCCACACACTGGGCATGTTACCAGGAGAAGGGCATCCTGCTCGGTAAGACGTGACAGTGACTGTGAGGCCGGCACAGTCCTGGGGTGTTTTGGTCTGTGCTACCTCGGGCCGATGTGCGTCAGGACTGACATGGTTCTATATCCCCCAAGAGTGGCACTCCAGGAGAATGGTCCTGGTACGCCCTGTCACCAGCACACCAAGGACGGCTGGGTAAGATGTCGGTGCGGACAAGCCCTGGATGCTGAGCTCAACAGGAGAACCTGCTGCTGCTGCTGCTGCTGCTGCATTTTTAAAAAGCCAGGTCTCCCCTGGCATCCACTGAGCCCTGTTGGCGCAGTGGGTTACACGTGAGGTGGCTAACCACCAAGGTCAACAGTTCCACTCCACCAGCTGCTCCAAGGGAGGAAGATGAGGCTTTCTGCTTCTTGAAAAGTTACATCCTCAGAAACCCACGGGGGCAGCTGTCCTGCGGGGCTCTAGGAGTTGGATTAGACTCGATGGCAGGGAGTTCGCTTTGGCTTTCCTGTGCATTCAGGAAAAACCAGAGTCACTGCCAGCGAGTCGATTCTGACTCATAGCGGCCTTCTAGGACAGGGCAGAAGTGCCCGTGGGTTTCCAAGACTAGAATCCTATGCAGGAACAGAATGCCTAATCTGTATCCCAAGGAACAGCTGGCTGATGGTTTCAAACTGCAGACCTTGTGGTTAGCAGCCCAATGTGTTTAGGAAGGACACACGTAAAAAGGCCGGCCTAGTGTCCCCTCCACCCTACCCCACAGTGAGGGGCTGCTGACTCAGACTGCATTTGTTCATTTTTAAATGCCCGCCTGCTTCCAGAGTGAGGGGCAAGCTTGCTTTTTAAGAGAATGGAGCCAGTGTACCGATGGCCCCACCCCATCTCATGGCCACCCCTTGGAGTCATTGCTTTAAGCCAGAGGGAGGCAGGGGTCTCATCAGTGCCCTCTGCCCAGGCCCAGTGTGTGCCTGGAGAAGCCAGCAGAGCTCCTCCGGCGTCAAACCTGCCTCCAGTGCTGGGTGGGTCTGTGCAGGTGAACAGCCTGACCCGTGCCCCAGCCATGCAGCCTGCTCTTGACACAGCTGACTGGGCTGGAGGGAGGAGACCCAGGGGCCTGGGTCCCCAAGCTAGCGGCTCCTCCCACAACCTCCGGCAAGCCTGGGACCGCCCAAGCCTCTGGAGACAGGCATGTAATTAAATTAATGCCGGGTTTGGAATCATGAGGCAGAGCCATGAGGGACGGCAGAGAAGATGCCCAGCTTGGCTGCTTGTTGGCAAGAGGAGGGGATGACCCCTTATTCCAATGCTGGGGTCCAATGCCACTTTAGAGGGGGCGCTCCTTTGGCCAAGGCACAGCTGTCTAATGCTGGCCCCTCTCCACCCCTCTTCCCATGGAGGGCCTGGCCATGACACACCACTGGGCTTGGGCAAGAGGAGGAGCCTGTGCAATTGAAGGGGAGTGTCAGGGTCTTCCCAGCCCCCCATGGCTGTCCCCAGCTGTACTGGACCAAGCCCCCGCTCCCTGGCCATCTCCTCACCACCCTCTCAGCTCTCCCTTTTAGCCTCTGCCACCCGACTTCTAGCTTCCCAGTGAGTCGGACATTAAGCATGAGGGGCAGGGGCAGGGGCCATGCCCACTAACCCCATGACCCTCATCCTGGGCCTACGACAGTCCGTTTGTCCCCCAGGGAGAGGCATTCGAGGAGGGCAGATTGGGAGCTTGGGCGGGCGGGCATTGGTCACTAGGCTTCCATGGCCCAGGATTTGACAGGTTTGAGGGCCGGGGAGACCACATAAGGCAGTCTGGGAAAGTCCC